ACAATGGTTTTCTTTGGAATGTGGGCTTTGCGCATGCGCAAGAAAGTACGCATAATAAGGGCATAATGTGTAGTATGGTGAAAGAGAATAACATGTTATTTTCACGTGTGAAGATATCAATTTTTCGAAATAGAGAAAAATAGATATTTCATTGGTAATTATATAATAAGTAAGACTATTAATAAAGTGCACTTAAAGGTGCGCCAGGTAGAATCCTTCTGCGGTTTTGTCAAGGTCAACGAGCCAGTTACACGTATGGTTTCCCAATGCGGATTTTTTTCTTTGTTATGCAACATTAAATAAATATTACTGAAGTCACTCCAAATGAGGGAAACATAAATACTTCGAGGTTTAACGGCTTCTAGAGCAGACGTCGGTGCTTTTATTTCCTTTCGCTTTGATAGAGCGAAGAGATTAAATGAGAAAATGCTTTTCTTTCTCGTTCTTGTTCTTTCAAACTTTCTTCTTTTTCGACGAAGTATTTTTGCGTATTTAATTGTAAAAATTAAGCAACTTAATCCAAGCATGCATAACCTGATAGCCATAATTATCAAATGTAAAAGAATTACTTTTCCGCATTGATGGTCTCAAAGCTGGTTAACCAGTCTAGTCAGTCGCTAGTCGCTCCAGAACGATAGTTATTCAAAATATCGCCATCCATATTTCAATTCTGTGTATGCAAAAAAAATTTCACGCTTTGTTTTCGCGTTCTAATATCCCTCATTTATAGGATTTTTTTCTCTCTCTTACCTTTCGACCTGGCTTCAGTACACATTCTGTATACATATAAATGTAAATACCAAGGAATGAATATGAGGAAAGTTAACTTTTGAAAACTATTACTGACCAAGTCAAAAGGCATAGCTTATATGAGTTAATATTTTAAGTTTTAGGTAAAACTTTCAACTCGCTTTAGCAAATATCCGCTTATGAGAATGCCATTGAATTAAGAATAAGAAATCATTCTACGTCAAACGGATTTATGGGTGACTAAACTTGAGTAGTTGGACCATCCTGTAACGTCATAACAACGTTTGATTCATATACACATGTGACGATAACTGTCAATACCTATTTCCGCGAATGAATTGTGTACATTTTTTTTAGCTCACAGTTGGGGTCCTACCTGAGACGTGTTATCAGGAAGTCTTTAAAACTCGGCAACTTTGTACAAAGTCGCAAGACTGTACAGTGAGTTTCCACGAAGCTAACGACTTAAACAATTCTATATCGTAAGGTAAGGAAGTAGTCATTGGCTCTAGATTTTTTAGGAATTTAAAATTAATTTCAAGTCTTGTTTCTAAGACTTGTAAATATCAATTTTGACATTTGGGAAAAAACGGCTTTACTGAGTCAATAATTTTAATCAAGCTCAAGTTCTATAGGAAGCGTAGCCTTCAATTACTTCTTATACTTTAAGAGGAATTTTTTTCAATAATGAGCAATAATGGCAAAAAGCGCCAAAAACTAGACATTCGTATGAGTTTTGATCCCAATTTTCTTTTTGGGTTAACACTCAAAACCTTTTATTAACAGTTAGAAACTGATGTACTATGATAAAATGCCTGTTTGAAGCGGTATCTTCAATTGTACAAAGATGTTTTGTTACATTTGTGTTAGAATGTAGCTTTGTCAGGCTTTTTTATATAGAAAATATATGAGAAATAAGCAAATGAAGGCCTAAACCTCATTTTCGAATGGGCTTTGGGTTAACACTTTGATTCCACTTTCATCGGTCATCTCCACTTCCAAACAAGTTAAACTTTCTAATAACAAGATTTTAGCCTTGTACAACAGCCTTCCTTACCTCTGCTCTCATACGACCACACCGCTTCAAAGATAAAGAAAACCTCAAAAAAAAACTTGAATCGAAAAAATATATCAGTCTTGAGTTCGGTAACACATTTCCAAACTATGCACATTTTTCTAAAGAACAACTTTTTGCAAGCAATGCACATTTTGTTACTCTTTCTATGAATTGTAAGACTATGGAAAGCAAGGGATCTCTGGTCTGTCGAACCACTTGTTTTATTGAACCTCGTCTTAGACGTTTATACAAGTTAAGTGTCAGATCTAACTACACAAACTAGAGCAGAGTCAGGTTGACCAGAAGGACTTTCCTTAGTCGGTATGGCTGTCAGTCGGGATTCCTTACTCGGTCACTGTCCTTACTTAGGTCTGTACCTCCCAGCACAACACGAAATACAACCTTAGCCTTATTCACAACTAAGTACAAGATTGAATGCACAGAAATAGTTAAATTACTCGTCCTTATATAACCAGGTAATCCAATCTGAAATTCTTCTTACATCACGCTTCTAGACAAGTTCAACCTTGGTGGTTTGAATGTTAAGCTTAATCATAGTCGGCCGCCATATTTTTCAATGTGTGCATGGTCAGTGTCACGTGATGGTACGGTTCAACATCAAATGTGAAACAATAGGCCGGTCCTTTGAAGTTCGCCAGCTTTCATAACCATCCCTTCTATTAACTATGATAAAAATAATAAAAATAATAATGATAATAATAATAATGATATTAATAATAATGATAATAATAATAATAATAA